GATCATTTATGTAGAGTAAGAAAAAAAGAGGGCCTAAGACGGTGTCTCGGGAGACACCAAAAGAGACAGGGACAGAGAAGCAGTACCGTCAAGAAAAACGTGTTGGGTTATTTTAAAAAGAAAAGCTGTGGTCCAGTAGAGTTTACCCTGACTAAAAGTAGTTTCTGTATGTCTTTTGTTGAGGACTTCGTCGAAGGCTTTGGCGGTCTAACACTATTGCATCGAGCAGCTTAACGTCACTTCTGTCTGAGTCTAGAAATATCATGATGAGCGGGGATATCCACGGTCGTTTGGGTCTGAGTCCGTGTTGTGTATCAGTTAGTACGTTGTCTATATCAAGATGATTCATTGTGCAGGCAGGAACTCCAGGTTAAAAAGGTCCTGCCGTTTTTGCCTTGAAATTTCAGCAAAATCAAGGGCATCAAGGCATTTCTGCATTTTTGAAGGGCATCAAGATAATCGCAGTAAACCCTGGGGCATCAAGGCAATTGCAATAAACCCTGGACCATCAAGGAAATTGTGTAAAACATGTATATATGATGTAAGATGGATTTACATGTACATCGAAGAATTTTTCTCTATCAGTATGTGTCAAGTCCATACGTAAGAAATTAGTCCTCAAGTGGCAGCGTAATCAGTACAGTGCAAACTGTACATGTACTTCATAATTATTACAGGGAGATAAAACAAAAGCTTACTTTGTTGTTTTGTTCTTTCTTGCTGTTTTCAGTTACCATTGATTAACGTCGAAATAAAATGGAAGGCCAGGGGGGTTGGGCGTAGGTGTCGAGTGTTTAGGTTTGGGGCGATGTGTGCCACAAGGTATAAAAGAAGCTTGTATGAGTATTGGGATTCTGGGAGGGGGCTGTTGTACGTAAGGGTTGTTCATGTGTTCATTAAGTGTGTCGACGGAATTATGAAGTACAATGGGGGAAAGTAGTAGTGATAATATAGCCCCATTTGTAGTTTTCGCTTGATTTGTGCATGGCCCAACGTATGATCTGAAGTCGAGTTTGATGCTGAGAGCGGGAAAGTAAAACGACTGTTTCAGATTTTACGCATTTATTTAATCACTAGCAATTTCATAGCAATTTCATGATACATCAGTTCAATTTCCTTTAAAGATTGATAGACCTCTTCATGCGTGGGTCTTTAGCAAGTTACAAGTTTTCTTCTTGTGATGTGAAACACGAGAGGGAGAAAGGCATAAATGAGAAGACAAACCCATGGGGAACTAACATAATGGCAGAAATAAAGGATTGCATATCGCTTTATATCATTTAACTGAAAATCAACGTAAACAGGCTGATTTTACCATCAATGGACACCTAAATATCCCGCCTCATCCTTCCATTTTCTCTTAACAAATACACTTCATTAATAACAAAATAATTCGATCTTTGCTTTTGCTAAGTGTTCCACGTGGGGAGTCTTCGGCAAGAGGTGGGTTTTCGAAAGAGGAAGAT